AGTAAAAAATTTCACCTGTTTTCTCTGTCTTGTCAAATCTTGCATGTTTGTGTTTGTAAGTAAAATGTAAAATAGTCAACGTGAGTGCTTCGTTTAGGTCTGCACATTTCATGCGATATATATATGTATGTATGTATCAATCAAGTATCATGAAAAGGCTGGCGGGTTGTTGAACAAAGCGGACGTATTTTCTGGGCTCCCGCACTTTAAGGATAATATTGGATGATTCACTTAACATTAAGGATACTACACTAGGAAAAGCTAAGATTAAGTAAAATTTACTTAAATCTACTCAAAACAACTGAATTTATGAAAGTCTAATTAAAATCTACTTTATCTCATAACTCTAAATTAATTGTCATTATACAATATATAAGCCAATTAGTACTGAATTTTACCACCCCAAACAACTCTTATTTCAACCAAAGATGTAAATATACCCTCTTTTACAAGTTTAATTTTTTAAACATATTGAATAAAAACCAAAACTTTTAATTAAAATTTCCTTTGTTCCTTTGTTCTCACTGAAAATTCCTTTGTTCCTTTGTCCTCACGGGAAAAACACGTAGGCAGCCAAAAATATCTACTGAACAGTGGTACTACTACATAACAATAACCTCAAACAATATATCATAAATACTTAATCATACAACTTCTACATGAATTTACATTAAAATATTTATCGAAAAATAAAAATTTAAATTTAAACTCTAGCCAACAGTTCAATTCCCCTCTCAACATACTGGGTTAATATTATACCAGCTTACAAATAAGATAACACGAAATACATAAACCCTAAACTAAGGCTGCGTCTGATTGACCGATAATAGCCACGCTTAATCACAAAATAAAACATACAATGTTGAGCTAAAAGAAGGATTGAAAATTAAAATCTATACCAACCAATTAAAATTTAGCACTCGAATGACGTACACAAGAAACGCAACTTTAGTACAAACGCTCCCACATAACTACTAATAAATGTACACTATTTTCCAAATTAACGAGGAATAATTAAAATCTGAAGCATCCAATATTATAAAATATAAAACTAAAAAGAATAATTTAGATCCCTTGTAATAAGAACCCTAGGAATTATGAAACCTTACCTTTAGTCAATGTAGCCTTAGTTATAAGCATAATTAAATCATAACAATAATCATAACTATTTATAACATACATATACTGTATTTGTATTTTAATTTTCCTTATAATAACTATATATACTCTAATTAGTGTTGATTACCATCTATAATACTACAACTAAGCACATAATAACAATGAAATACCATGAAACATAATTTTATTATAAAACCTAAATAGAAAACAAAATTGAATTAGAATAGGATTGAAAATTCGGCTTTTATCATCCAATCAAAACCGACGAGACAACAACCTTATAATTTTGAATCATCCAATATTACTAAATCAAAAATGCAAGAATAAAGAAGAATCAAAAGAGATGCTTACAACAAACCATCAACAAGAACAAATCACCAGTATCAAATAAAGGGAACATTGGGGACTTTAGTAGGCGGGAGTTGAGGCGGAAGGCCGTTACGCTCTGTTACAATACTCAGTCAACAAAGGGTCTTAAGGTCAGCAAATAAAGGTCAGCACCACGACCAAAAGCCCAGCCCTAGGGCTAAGCGCCTCCCTGGATAGCAATGTTATCGAAAGATAACATCCGGCCAAGACGGTGAGCCACCAGGGGGATAAATAGGCCCACGCGCCGGGGCAAAAGTGTCAGCACTGGACACTGGTGAGCCCAGCCACGGAAGGGGGAGAGGCCACTAGCCCTTTTCAGGGCTTAAAGTCATAAAACACGAAAGTGTATACATGACTATAATCACATATGAGCAAATCAAGTATCATGTGATATATGTATGTATAAATCATGTATCATGTGATATATGTATGTACGTATCAATCATGTATCATGTGATATATGTATGTATGTATCAATCATGTATCATGTGATGTATGTATGTATGTATGTATGTATGTATGTATGTATGTATGTATGTATGTATGTATGTATGTATGTATGTATGTATGTATACATGCATGTATGTATGTATGTATGTATGTATGTATGTATGTATGTATGTATGTATGTATGTATGTATGTATGTATGTATGTATGTATGTATGTATGTATGTATGTATGTATGTTTGCATCAATCATATATCATGTCATGGTACGCAGAAGGGTTTCATTACGGACTTACTTGACTCACTGTTAGAAGAACTCAAATGTCAGTGTCAAGTCAAAAATCGAGGTCTTTTGAACCTATCACACAAGTTTGAACTTTCCTGTATGTCTCGGATTTTAGTACACCTGCAGAATTAACTTCTTCCACACTATGAGGGCTATTGACTAAGTGTTTACGATAAAATAAAATTTGATATCACCGATGGAAAAGTGACCATTCATATGGCATACGTGGTACCTTCATGGGAAGAAGAAACTAACAACCACTGATCTGCTTGTCGATAAGTTTACCTAGCACGATGGATATACAAACAGATCTACAAATGAAAATAATACATGATAGAAAACATCTACGCTGGAACACAGGTGGTATCTGTGTCCAGATTTAAACAGCGTGCGTGACAGATAAAAAGAAAAGCACAGCTTTTGTCCAATTGCATTGTTTGTTTCTTCTTTTTGCTTTTTCTCAAAAATGTACTTTTACAGTAATATGAAAAATGTACTTCCTTTCTGAAATGCATATAAGTTGTATCTGGATTTATTTTGAAGGCATGAACATTAATTTTTAAAGGTAGTTTTTTAGAACCAAGAAATATATAATTTGTGAATAGGTTTGCTTCAATGTCCAAATGTGTATATATTAAATGAATAATGCTTAGACCAAACCACAGGCCGCAGACCCCGTGTATATATTTGATAAAATGTTTGTACTCATACAAAAGACTTTTCTTTTTGAGGTCTCTATTCTGTCTGTGAGTTTTTCTTTGGAACATCTCTGTCCTCTTTTATGTGTGTTTGAATGTGTATTTGTTTGCTTCTGTATGTCTATGTTTGTCCCTGCCAACCCATTGTCCTATAAATATATTTTACCCTATAAATAATTTTGACCCTATTAAACACATGAAGTTACCCATGTTCAATTTCCATTGACCTCAAGGCCACATTCCCATGTTAAATTCCCATTATCCCCCAAAGTACCAAGCACCTCTTTTATCATATAAGTCTATAAATCTTGAGGTAACGGAACAATTTGAGCCGTGAATTAGTTAACACGGAAGTCTACGTGAGGCTATGGTGTCCTACTATACTACTTACACAGCTAGGCCTTAGTTCAGATGCGCTCTTTTGAAAAAAGATGCTAGCTCCGCTTGGTCATTTCCACTTTCTCAACTTCAGAGGTAAATTGTGAAAAGAGTGGAAATCTTTTATTGTACTTTTTATGTTTTGTAATTCATTCATTGCGCTTCCAGAAGCTGATATTGTCTGGCAAAATTTATTTTTCTTTGCTTAAAATAGTGTACATTAATTCATTCATGCTAATTTTTTTTTAGAATACTTGCAAGCAGCCATTATTTGTGTGCTTAGATGGTATAGTCTCCACAATCATAATATGTAAAGAAATTGCAGCCACAATACATGAACGTAACATATTGCAACATTCTCTCCACTGTACATGTTGCAAATGCAAACACCTTCCCCTTAAACCTGCCACTCGCTCCAATGTCTGTATCTGTAGAGAGCCCCGAAATGGAAGTTATCAGGTTTTTTTTAAAAAAAATAAAACATTTTCTATGCTAATACAAACGTAAAACATAAGATCAACGTAATTTTTGTATTTCAATTACACCACAATTCTATATCTATTTTTCTATTTATTATAAAGTGACTGACATATTTGCAATAACATGGATCATAATTTCTCAGCGAACAAAACTCCATTAGTGATTATATTTTGTCAGTTGAACAAAAACTTAGACAAAAAGAATACTTTAAAAACAATAAGATGGTAGATAAAATGTTCAAACTTACTAGTGAAGTATAATATTCACATAACAGTGTTTTACGTATCACTGATATGTAGACTGCTGCTACTAAAGAACGTTACTGATCCAACAACACTATTTACATTAGTAACATGACATAAAATATAGGATATTTAGTAATAAATGATATTAAATATGTTTTGATGGGTCGGCATGTCAAAATTTTCAGTATTGATTTGTCAATATTACAACAAGCAGTATGGGAGCACCGAGTGGCCGAGTGGTCTAACGCGCTCTCCGTTAAAGATCACTACCATCTCACCTCTGTCTGCTTGGGTTCGAGTCTAAGATTCGGCTAATGTGGATATGTGAGAAAGCTTGCTAGTAGCTTCTCGTGGATCGGTGGTTCTTTCCGAGGATTTCCCAGTTTCTTCTTCCACCATTATTACTGGCCGCCATGTATAGCCTATCGTGTGCTGAAAAATGGCGTTAAGCCCCACAACAACAACAACAACAACAACAAGCAGTATGTGTTTGTAAGAGAGAGTAAGACAACTCACTAAAGCATACTGACGTTAAGAACAGGGAGACAACTCAATAAAACATACTGATAAGACACATTCACTTACTTGAGGAAATATAATCCATTGTATGTACTTTCACACGTGAATGTTGCAGATGTGACAAGTGCGATCAGAACAATAGGATAATTCCATAACGTTTCGTTTGTGAAATTCAGTGCCCTCTTCTCAGAGCTTATCCAATTATCTCTTTCCGGATCCGGAAATGTACAATACGCAACTGCAAAACAGAATTACGTAAGTAATGTCAAGTTCTAGGAAAAATTGAGGCTCAGTCAGAATTGCTATAACTCAAGTTATTCATTAAATCCCACTGGATAACACCAAAATTGAACTTGGAGGAGGAGGCTGACAGACAGACAGGCATACAGAGAGACCGCTTCGGTGGCCTAGTGGTAATAGCGTCCGGCTCTAATGCTGGATTTCGCGGGTTCTTATACCGGCTAAACGCTCTGGTGGCCTACTGGTTAGAGCGTACGCCTCGGAAACGGGAGGTCGTGGGTTCGATCCCCGATCGAGTCATACCAATGTCTAACAAAAGTGGTACTAACAGCTGCCTCGCTTGACCCTCAGCATTAAGACGTCATTGTTAGGACTGGTCGTCCTGGTGTCAGGATAATGTGACTGGGTGGGACATGCCACATGTCTGCGACATGATGCCCCAGTGCTAAACATCACTATAAACTGCCACGCTGCAGACATCGTAGCGATATGACTGAAAAATTGTTAATGCTGCGTTAAAAATCATAATCACATCACATCATATCACTTATCCTGGCTGAATCCTACCAAAAACATAACCAAAATCTTATATAAATGGTATTAACAGCTGCCTCGCTTGGCGCTCAGCACTAAGAGGTTGGTATTAGGACTAGTCGGCCTGGTATCATGATAATATGACAGTGTGACGTCATGCTATATGTCTGCGGCATGATGCCCCAGCTTGCATCAATATAATGTTTGAACATACTTTCTAATACATATATGGTGCTCAGAAAAGACTTAAAGTGAATAAAATGAAGACACATATGCTTAATGTATGTGTCGCTTTGGTTTGCACTAACTTATTTAGCTGGAAGTTAAAATCTGTATGAAATTATCTTGAAGTTGAACTATTTAAATTTAGTATCAATTGTCAGGTTCATGATTGCAGTAAAATAAGATGGTTCTATATGAAGAAAGAATACTGTCATATTGTTCATATTTACATTCGGTGTTGCGAATGAATTAAGGCTCACTATACAAGAAATAGCAGAAATCTTCATATTTAGTTTTTCTTTTCAAAAATAAGAAAAAAAAGTAATTCACGGATCAAATGGTTCCTTATATGTAAAAAAGATAAACATTCATTTTATTTAGGTAACCTGCTGTATATTCTGTATTCGTCAGCCCTCTCAGCAATGGTCCCTCTCACGGTCCATGTAACTGACATCCGGTTATGCATGTGAAATATTGTGACTGCTTTCTCTTTTACCCATGGTTTAGTCTCAAATGCGTACGACTGGTAGCAACCGTCCTAGATACCGAAACCACCAGCTTACACCTTGCTGTTGTTTAATTTTGTATTGCTGGCTCTCTACAGCGTAAGGTAGCCAGTATGAGCCATAACTTATTCAGTAAGTTCACAAATCAACAGGTAAACTAAGGCACAGACAGCCCGATGTTGGATTATTACGCTTTTACTTTAATTTATGTGATAATCAATGATTATCCTGCAGTTCCTGATAGCATGAAACAGTTTCAATACATAATAAAATAGTTTTTAAATGTGCAACTTAGAGCAGTGGATAAACCAGGAAATTAGTCATATTATTTGATCGAAATGTTATCTTCTGGTAGGTGTTATAGATTGTATCTTGTTTGTTTGCGTGGTGAACACATACTAGTCTCACCCATGGTGCAATTTTAATATTTATAAGACACATGGATCCACGAAATTGGTGGACAAAGTAAATCGCATATACCAGCAGTTTATTGACCTGAACGTATAAGTGGAAATATTTGAACACCACGAAATCCTTTATCCTTTATTTTAAAAAAATCATTGATTTGAATTCCATTGCTGTAGTAATGTAGTTATGTTTGCTTTTTGCCTTTTGGGGTCCTTATATGCGTCACAGCCTTTATCCTCATGACTTTTACCTATTATTGCAAGCAAAGTACATGGTGTGTATGACCCGTGAAAGTGTCCAACGCATGCACGTTCTGGAGGTTGTAAACGGAATAATCTACTACACGACGATGCCGTATTAATCAATACTCTCATGCTATACAAGGGGCCCCGATTGGCCGAGTGGTCTAAAGCGCTGTCCGTTAAGATTCACTACCATCTCACCTCTGTCTGCGTGGGTTCGAGTCTAGGATTCGGCGAATGTGGATACGTGAGAAAGCTTGCCAGTAGCTTCTCGTGGGTCGGTGGTTCTTTACTGTGATTTCCCGGTTTCTTCCTCCACCATTAATACTGGCCGCCATAAATAGCCTATCGTGTGCTGAAAAATGTCGTTAAGCCCAACAACATGCTATACAACCACAATGCGTAATTACATGAGCCAGTTTTAACAGGCACAAATAGAGTCAAAACAAGCTTATTTAGCACACCAGAAAATTCAGACACAATCTCAACAATTCAAATGCACTTTCATCCTGTCCTACTTCTAATAAAATTTCACTTTCCAGAAGACCAATGAAATTGGTATTTTTTCCCTCGGGAATGTATGGTTTTTGTTACATGTCACATTTTATTAGAAGTTGGACAGCTGATCCCGCAATCAGCTAGAAACTGTTCCCACATATAAGGTTCTTTCTGACTCCATTATCGGGTTTTTAAAAAAAAATTCATTGAATGCTAATTATTGAACAATGGTAAACTAGAATGCTTTCAATGAGACGCTCTGTCCCGGATTATGTAAAGTCTTGCCGCATATCCAACATAATGTAAAGAAAACCGTGGTTTGCTTCGCAGTCTTCTTTATGTTTCATTGAGTAATCCAGCGATACACGTGGAGAACTCATATTCAATAACGGATTGGCTTGTAACCATTTTTGACAATATAATCGAAAATCGTATGTGTCTTAGTTTTCACCGTGCTTCTGCCACCATTCAGAAGTTTCCTCCACTTTCAACTGGTTTTGAGGCCATGCTGATTGGCATTTTCAAGAGCGTACATGTTAGCCGGGAAAAAGCTTGTCACACTTGAATCTAGCTTACACGATATTATGCACGGAACCAAAAAGAGTTGTGCCATCTTGGACAGTCTTGACGTTTCAGCAGGAAAGAAAGGTGGTCGTGATTGTTGTTAACAACCAACGTTCGCGTACCAAATGGCAAAAGTTGACTTGATTTCACGTAACTCCATCGATTTTTGTCTTTATAGTACAACTCTCTCTCTCTCTCTCTCTCTCTCTCTCTCTCTCTCTCTCTCTCTCTCTCTCTCTCTCTCTCTCTCTCTCTCTCTCTCTCTCTCTCTCTCTCTCTCTCTCTCTCTCTCTCTCTCTCTCTCTCTCTCTCTCTCATAACCCTTTAGCTACGCACACACCTGCCTTTATTGAAACTTATGTCTCTCAAACTTAGTTTCAGCTTACTGCAAGATTATCTTTAAAACAAAAGTTGAAATCAAAGAAGGATGATTTGATATCTGACCAACTAAATGTATCGATCAGTTTTGTGAATACAGTAATCTCCTGATTTTTTTTCTTTTAATATTTCATATTGCACGGAGCAACATGATAGGTGGGTCTAATCAGCCACGTTCCAAATCAGCCGTTGTCCTAATCAGCCACCATTCAAACAAATACATCATTAAAAAGTGCTTGTGTCTAAATATACATAATATTTTCTCCCTGAAAAGAATATGTCTACAATAAGTTTCTACTCTGTTCCCAGCGCATTGATTAGAAATCATCAAACAATCCACACAATTAGAGAGATTCGTTGTTGTTGTTGTTGTTGTTGTTGGGCTTAACGCCATTTTCACCACAAGATATGCTATACATGGCGGCCAGTATTAATGGTGGAGGAGCAACCCTGAAAAATCCCTGGAATAACCACCGACGCAAGAGAAGCTACTGGCAGGCTTTCTCTCTTACCCACGTTAGCCGAGTCTGGACTCGAACGCACGCAGAGGTGAGATGGCAGTGATCCGTAACGGTCAACGCTTTAGTGCACTAGGACACTCGGGGCCACCAATATTTGTATCCTTAATTGATAATCAGATGTTAGATTAGGCTCAAAGACCACACTTACTTAAGGCAAACAACATTAAAACTTGAATCCTATACCACTTATTTTGGAGCCCTGCTGAGATGTAGAGGCGCACTCTTCCTGCACCTTTGTTTGTCTCCTTTATCTCACACTGAAAGTATGTGTGCCGCGCACACATTAAATATTATAATGGGTGCCCTGCACGTGTAAAAAAATAGAACAATGTGTGAACATTAACCCATCGTAAATGGCCGAATAGCCGTACAGACGTTGTACATTCAGGGTGAGAAATCAGTCGTGCCATTTTTTTCTAATCCTATAGAGAAGAAAGAAAAATGACAACTATCCAACAATGCCTAGTGCGAAAGTTGGGGCAAAACCGTCCGTTTAATGGAGACAGCGAAGAAATGATGTGTTATCCCAACCAAAGTCATGTCCGCACTGAGGTGACTTTACAACGGCCAAGAGGTTTGTAAGAGAAGTAATGGAGCAGGAACTTGCAAAGATTAAAGCAACCTGGATGGAGGCAAGAGTTGGCACCGGATTGCGGCTATTGTGATTGCGGCTAAACCTCATTACAACTAAACATGCATACCCTAAAGAGCACATACATACATACATACATACATACATACATACATACATACATACATACATACGTACGTGCGTGCCAGCGTGCGTGCGTGCGTGCGTGCATACATACATACATGCATGCATGCATGCATGCACGCACGCACGCACGCACGCACGCACACACACACACACATCCATGCATGCATGCATGCACGCACGCACGCACGCACACGCACGCACGCACGCACGCACACACGCACGCACGCACGCACGCACACACACACACACACATACATACATACATACATACATACATACATACATACATACATACATACATACGAACGTGCGTGCGTGCGTGCATGCATGCATACATACATACATACATACATACATACATACATACATACATACATACATACATACATACATACATACATACATACATACATACATACATACATACATACATAAGTACTAATATCCTAAAGCGCTAATACATATATACATACCCTAAAGCGACGTTAAATACTTTGCACATTTCCCTTTATGTGTATTTTGGTAGAGAATGCTTGACACTATAAAGTCATAGTAATTTAAATATATTTGTATGTAGTTTCCTGACGTAAATAGAGACATAAGAATTTAAATCCAGTGTAGCACATCATAAGATAACTATTATGAACCCCTTAGTCGCATGTTACAATCAAACATACAATGGAATCCTTCTCCCAGATCCAAGACTGCT